CATGCTCGCTGCCTTCAATGCGACATATTGCACAGCCTGACTTCATATTTTCTTTCGTCTTAAAAAGTGCAAAAGGGAGTTTTTTTTAAACAGGTAAAAAGGTAAAAAGCAGCTAACTGGAAAAGAAAAGTATGTCAGGAGGTGTGCATGTGCTGCTGCTTCAAGATTGGATGAAATGTGAACTGCTGGCCTGTTTGGATTGGCTGCCGGACACAGTGAAGGCAAAGGGCCAACATGACCCACGATAAAAACCAGCCTCAACCGGAGCACAGAATGTGCAAAATACTGAGCAGGAGGACGTGAATGAGCTGTAGGGAAACTTGTCCTGCAAAGTTTTCACCATGTTTGACACACTTCAGTGTTTGGGAGCGTGCAGGAACGTTTTGTGAATTACAGCAGCTGTCAAAGAACCGGTTGAAACGTGCAAAAATATCAGAATAAACTTTACAAGCCCTCGACTCAATTTGACCCGATTAGTTCTGCAGAAAAAAAAATAGGTGACGAAGGAATTATAAGCGTGATGACCACATGTTACACAACTTCCTCTACAGAAGAGGAGAGACAGAGCAGCGGATTCCTGAACCTCCGCCAACAAATAAGCAAAAAAGAGAGTCAGAGACAGCCAATCAAATCCTCCCAGAACTGTAACGGCCCAGTTCAAACCTAAACCTCACTCTGTCTAGAGGTGAGGGGGGGGGGGGGGGGCAAAGGTCTGCTGATGCAGAGTGTCCACACAGATAACATTTATGGAGCAGTGACCGGGGATCCGCTTTAGTCTTAAATCAGCAAATATGAGGTGGAAAAACGCAGCAAGAGTTGTTAGATTTTGTTTTTACTTAAAAACGGCAAAATCAGAAGTTTAAGTCCCGAGCCTTGTAGGACGAATGATCGACATGTTCCACATCAATAAATCATAAAGTCTGTCCTGTGTAAATGTCTCTGAGTCCTGACTGTCTACAATGAGGGAGAAGCTCGAGTCCCGCTGGCTGTGTTGTTGTCAGAGCCGTGTTTACATGGACGGGACGGCCGGCTCCTCCCCTTGTGTATAAAAGCTGTTTTAGTCAAGAACTAGAGAGAAGAAGAAGAACATACTCACTGATTATTTGGATGTTAGTAAGAGTTTTTAGATCACGCTCATTCTGTGTCAGTTTACATGAAATGTGAAGCTACCAGCTAACTAAAGAGCGCTAACATTAGCATGCTAACACAACAATGTGAAGCTACGAGCTAACTAAAGAGCGCTAACATTAGCATGCTAACACAACAATGTGAAGCTACGAGCTAACTACAGAGCGCTAACATTAGCATGCTAACACACATGTGAAGCTACGACTAACTACAGACGCTAACATTAGCATGCTAACACAATGTGAAGCTACGAGCTAACTACAGAGCGCTAACATTAGCATGCTAACACAACGATGCAGGACACAGGTGATTGCAGCTCGAGCGAAGGACGATGTTGTTGGTGCAATTTAATGGTGCGTCCTAATTCATAACTCCTTGGTGATAAGACAAGGGGAGTGGGGTTGGAGGTGTGTCTCTGGAGGAGAGCGGAGGCTTCAGGATGGAGGAGGTGTGGCCAAACAGAAGTTTGTTTTGGTTTCATGCTGGTGCTCAAGGGCGACATCTACTGGATCAAAGAGTCGCTCATTGTTCCTTTAAAGCGATCAGGAAAGATTCAAACTTGAAATCAGGTTGTTCAAAAGAAGGTTTACATATTCAGACACGATCAGCTGATTCAATCCTGATTTTATAATCTTGGATATAAAACTTTCAGTTTGTGTCGTTCAAAAACTTTGGATAAGGATTGTAAAACTTTGATCCAAAATATCCGGATCCAGATCCCAGCAGAGGTCTGAGTCGGTCTGGATTACAACAGAAAGAATCAAGAAAACTCTGAGGACTCGAGACGTGTCGCACTAGGCGTGGTCGTTCATAAATCAGCGGGGTGCCTCGGAGCGGGGCTGCATGTGGATCTGAGCGACCACAAAACAAGAGGGCGATTCAAGTAAACGTCGAGCTACGCTAACAGAGAGGGGGGGTAAACCCTCCTACTTCATTTGATCGGCTGCTTTGGCAGGAAGGTGACAGACCTGTTGCGTTGACGATGCGGTTCGCCCGGATGGTTCCGTGCGGCGTCTGGACGTCCCACTTCCCGTCGGCGGTCGGGTTGAGGCCGGTGACGGGGGCCGGGTTGTAGATCTGAGCTCCGTACATACGAGCGCCAGCAGCCAGTGCCATGGTCAGAGAGTACGGGTCGATGTGACCGTCTCCTGGCGTGTACAGACCCGCCAACACCTGGACAAAAACACAAGAGGAACCTTTGAGTGAGGAGATCATAACCACCTCATGCACTCATACTCATGAACACTTTCAGGGCGAGTGACATGTGAATGGAAACCAACACATTTTGTCATAACCACCTCACCTCCACTTTTCCCGCCATAACGTTAGCATGAAGTAGTAGCTGTTAGCGGATTAAATTGACCCGCGGCGGGGCAGGAGAGTGATTTTAAAACACATAATGAAGCTGCTCTTTTCTGCCTCTAAGTTAATTTCCAGCCGCTTGTTAAAGGGATACTTCACCATGAAACATGAATCTGTACTGACATTGGGTCATATATGTAGAAATGTGAAATACATTTTGAAGTTGGAGCCTTCTTGACCGAGAAAAGACAGAAAGTGTCTTTTTGGCTCATGTGGATGAAAGACAGGCGGCTAGCGGCGGTCAGCAGCGGCTAGCGGCGGTCAGCAGCTGCTAGCGAGCAGCGACGGCAAGCGGGCAGCGACGGCAAGCGGCCGCAGCAGCAAAAACACAAGACCGGCCTGTCGGCAGTAACCGTCTCGCCGCTATATTTATATTTTTTCTCCATTATCAGCTCTCTCCATAGAGCCTGTTAGCATAGCTTCCAAGCAATATGGCGGACGTTAAGTTTTGATTCTGGGAGTGAGTTCCCACCCACTGATCTGTGATTGGTCTGTAGCTTCAGCTCCTTTTCAGACTCAGAAATACAAAGATTTCCCATCTCAGGGGAAAATGAGGGCGGGATGCACGACCATTCAAAAACACTACCAGGTTTCTAATGAAACAAAGATTAATGCTAACGGGTGAAGTATCCCCTTTAATAATGGTGATGTGTTCACACAGACCTTATTGACATTCAGCAGAGGGAAGAGTTCATGAACTTTCTCCGGTCCGATGAAGTACTGCTCCGTCACATGCCAGTGCGTGCGGGTCATCTGGTACTTCATCTCATCCACCCGAGCCGGAGTCGCAGCGATACGGACGCTGCCGGGTTGATGAAAGCCCACCGCCTGCCGAGCAAACACAGTAAAAGACACATTTACCACCATAAAATAAAAAGCACGACGTGTTCACATTTCAAGAAAAAGACGATCCGAGCGCCTCACCTGTCCTGTTTCAGCCTCCAGGCTCTCGTACAGTTTGATGCTGTCATAGTGGACTTTCTTCAGGTTGATGCCTGGATGGTAATACGTCGTCAAACCAGCCTGAAAAATACAGAATGGTAAAAGGACTTGAGCTAACTTAGTTCTTTTCTAGTCTTTCTACAATTCACTTAGCAGACTCTTTTATCCAAAGCGACGTACATCAGAGAGTAAGAACAACACAAGTAGGAACCAGGAAAAAAGGGAACAATGTGAGTAAGAGCAAACGATCAGCTTTGAGTCTGATTGGACACACAGGTGCTGACAGGAAGTGACCAGAGGCAAAGCACAACATTGAGGGCAGTTCTTGAGAGCTCTAATCAGTATAGAAACCATCTTATAAGTCGTCGTTATCAAACAAAAACCATCGTCATTACCATCATCATCATCAATAATATGGAGACCATCATCATTAAGTTAGTAGGTATTCATGAAAGAGCTGGGTCTTTAGCTTTTTCTTAAAGGTGCAGAGGGACTCTGCAGATCGAAAGGAGTTTGGAAGTTCGAATTTGATAAAATGGACTTTGTACTAAAGACTTTTTAGAGTTGCTTTTTCAATGGATCATCGGACGTAGACAGATTAGGAAATATTTGTTTTAGTTTGGTCTGAGATGCTTTATTGAATGAGGAGAAACGCTCATGGATGTTTTGTAGGATGGATAAGGCGTTGGGAGGCGGAGCCCCGTTCACTCCTATGACAGCTACTCAGTGGTCATAGAGTCAGTGTGTAAAAGTACCCGGATCTTCTTCCTCACTGGGCCGACAAAGTATCTTAGAATTTTTCTTTTAATGCATTTATGTAAAGGCTGCTGGGATAGCCCCTCCCCCCCTCCACCCATGTGTAAGAAGAGTAACTGAGTGAGAGTAAGTGGGCCCTCTGACACTTCGAACATGTATTTATAGCTGCACAGCGGAGCGCCTGTTTGTCAATGAGTGACAGGGAAGTGGGTCAAGACCTGAGATGGCTTTCAATCATGGAACAGAAAACAGACCGAAGAACGTAGACGCTGCTGAAGATGAGGCTGTGAACGCACTCACTGGATTTTAAAAACACCTGCAGATGTTTGATTCTGTGTCAGGCGCTTAGAAGTTAGTTTCTTTATTAAGGAAAGAGAGAGAGAGAGGGAGAGAGGGAGGGAGAAAGAGAGAGAGAGAGAGAGGGAGAGGGAGAGAGAGAGACAGAGAGCGAGAGAGACAGAGAGAGGGAGAGAGAGAGAGGGAGAGAGAGGGGAATGGCGTGCAGGAAAGGAGCCACAGGCCAGATTCGAACCCAGGCCGCCTGCTTGGAGGACAACAGCCTCCGTACATGAGGCGCACAGACTAACCACTAGGCCACCATCGCCCCTGACTCGTCTTTTTTGACAAAACAATTTCAGTTTTAAAGCTGCTGACTCCAGGACAAGATTCTTTTTACATTGTTTTTATTTTTTCTGCAAAATTTACTTGAATAAAAGTAAATATTCAGCACATGAAGCGGCAGACGTTACCATGACTACAGAGGAAAGCAGAAGTTATTTATTGTAACCTAGCAACAATAAGGGACATGGGCGCAGCAAACAGTCAAACCCGTGAACGGACACAGAGCTCAGGTAAATACTGCAAAAAAGGAAAAGTAATTTTTTTTAAGTCTAAAACAGCTCGAGCCTCTGAAGTCTGAGAATCTGCTGCTTCTCTTTCTCTGGATTCAAATTTCAGGATTAGGATAATTAGATCTGAGGATTAGGATAGGTAACGTCATTTCTTTGCAGAATATTCTCCCGTCAGAGACTCTAGATCATGACAGTTTGCTGCTCTTCTTTCTGTCTTTTCTTCAACAAGATATTGCCTTATTTAGTTTTTGGACGAACAAAACAAGAAATTTAAAAGTGTCACTGTCAGCAAATTTTAAAAGGCCTCAACAAATAACGGAGAAAGTTATGTACAGATTATTAATACGTTTTGATGTAGCCTTGTTCTTTTAGTGAGAGAAACCTGAATGTATCTGGATTATGATTAATCTCTAAATTTAAATAATTAATCACTGTTAATCACATTTTTACTTGTGTTTAAAATTCAAATGTTTTGCTTTTAAACATAGTTATTGTTAGGCTTTTATTTTGAAATCTTGTACTGTCTTAAACTGAGAGTGCTTTACTTGCTGCTTAATGTGCTTTAACCGGGGCGCACGGTGTGGTCAGTACGCACGCCCGATGTACAGAGACTAGAGTCCTCGAGGCAGAGAGTCTCTCTCTCTCTCTCTGCCCAAAAAGAATAAGTAAATATGTTTAAACTGTGGCTGAAAAAAGGGAATGTTTAAATGTGTTGTGCAAGGTGACCTTTTGACCCCAGGAACCAGCAGGGGTCTTTTTAAAATAAAACAAATAGATCTCTACAAGCACACTTTGTGGGACGTACAGCGTGCCAGGTGGATCCAGCAGTCAGCTCGGACTTCTCCAGCAGAACCACATCCTTCATGCCACCTTTGGCCAGGTGATAGGCCAAGCTGACCCCCACACATCCCCCTCCGATGATGACGGTTTCTGCTGTGTCCTTCCACCTTTTGCCCAGAACTGTGGATGCATCACTAAAGTGAAAAAAAAAACAACAACACAAGTAACAGGTGATTGAATACCACATGTCACAGCTGTGATCCTCAGCTGTGTGTTTACAAAAGTGGCTTGAAAATATCTGCAACCAGAGAAGTTGTCTCCATGTTGACCATGTGTGAACTCCTGCAGAGTCACCAGAACTACTTTCAAAGTTGTGCACAGATTATTGCATGCAGCTGTGCAGTTTTTTCTGCGCGGATTAGAAGAAGTGGATGTCTGATTTAGGGTCTCCTATATCGAAAATCTCCGACATAAGCTGATAATGTTTAATGGAGCTCATGACTCACCTCTCCTCGGCTCGTTTCCTGGAGGTGCAGCTGATTGTCCTCAAAGGAAGCCGAGCGATGCCTCGACAGGCGGACAGATCCCTCCGCACATGAGCGGTAATTAAGTTTAATATCCGCGACATGTCTGAGGAAATATCTTGTAAAAAAAACTAAGTCTACATGTAACTCAAAGTGTAACCTGCCCCCCCTCTCTCTCTCTCTGGACCCCTGCACTGTCGTGTGTAGTTACAAATATCCCTCTTCTGCACTGACAGCCGTGTTGACCCGCCCACAGTTTGAGGATCGAGTCAGGACGATCAACAGGGAGTCAGGTTAACTCTTTGAGTGCCACAACAACCGGAAGTACAGGTCACACAATCCCAGGACACACACCTGTCAGTGGTTTAGATGTTTAAGATTCCTTTATGCATTTATAGAAAGATAAATTCAAAGAAAGCTCATCGGGTTTGTTTCTGCCTACAGCAGGGATGATCAACGTTGGTCACAGCAAGGGGCCACATTCATTTACTTCTCACTGCCAGAGTGAGATTACAGTCAATTATGTCTCAAATTTAACTCAACATATACCAGTGATCAAATATTATTATGGACATATTTCTGATTTTCATGATTTCATGGCAGATTTTGTCATGTTTTCTTCATGGTTCCAATTAATTGATATGTAAAAATTCACCTGAGGGCCACGTTGAGGGTTGATGGAGGCCACATGTGGCCCCCAGGCCACCAGTTGCCCACCCCTGGCCTACAGCTTTATCACTTTGGTTGGTTAGCATACTAAAGTTAGCTAATTAGAGCTAAGCTAAATGTGCAATTTTTTTGTTGAGTTTAATTTAAAGAACATACATTAAAACATTTGTCATGTTTCTTTCTGTAATCCAACAAGTGTTCATTTGCGTCTATGTCGATTATCTTGGTTGGTTAGCATGCTAAAGTTAGCTAATAAAAGCTAAGCTAATGGTGCAGGTTTTTTTTGTGAGTTCTCGATCGTGTTTCTTCCTGTAATCCAAGAAATGTTTATTATGTTTACCTCAAGCAAGACTATTAAAAGGACAGTTCAGTATTATTGAATTGGGGTTGTGTGAGGTCCCAGTCAATAGTAAGTCGCCTATATTATTCTCGTGAAGAATAGCCTAACTCTTAATCTCCAACAGATCAAACCCAAAGTTCTATAAAATTCACCCCCCGTACAGTGTGTGATAAAAACATGAGCGGACTCATGCTGCCTCCCCCCTGGGAGTCAATCAATCAATCAATTTTTATTTGTATAGCGTCAACTCATAACAAGTGTTATCTCGAGACACTTTAAAAAAAGCAGGTAAAAGACCTTACTCATTGTTATGTTACAAAAAGCAGGTAAAAGACCTTACTCATTGTTATGTTACAAAAAGCAGGTAAAAGACCTTACTCATTGTTATGTTACAAAAAGCAGGTAAAAGACCTCACTCATTGTTATGTCACAAAAAGCAGGTAAAAGACCTTACTCATTGTTATGTTACAAAAAGCAGGTAAAAGATCTTACTCATTGTTATGTTACAAAAAGCAGGTAAAAGACCTTACTCATTGTTATGTTACAAAGATCCGGCCTATCCATCATGAGCACTTTAGCAAAGCAGCAAAAGTTACAGTGGTAAGAAAAAAGCTGCCTGTGAAGTGAAGCCATGAGCACCAAACTCCTGCACGGGATCTCTGAACCAAATAGCATTAAATATTTGAGTTTGGACTGTTGACACCACCAGTAACATGTCTAAACACCTGCAAAACTATAATATTCTGTTTATTTATGTGACATGCATTAACAGTATTTTATTAAAGAGCTCATAGCAGTGCATGTTAGTAATACGACAGCTGCACATCTGCCTAGTTTTTCAGACTGGATCACATAACATGTGTACAAAAAAAGCCTCTGATAGATCCAGTCTGTGCAAAACGTTTATCTCTGAGTGGTCCTTGAGCCATTTATTGCAAAACAGACTCTGAGCTACCAGGAACAGCTGCGGCAGGTTTGAACTGGCTGTTTATCTTCACAGCCGGTTTATACAAACACTGAAACACATGCATGCTGGGTTAGTGAGCTTTGTGTGGGCAACAACAACAAGGAGATATATGAGTCCAAAAACATGTTTTATTGGAAGAAAAAGAGCGATCTCTATTGATCCATCTTATGTCTGCCTTGATGTAAACAGTTGTTTGGACAATACTCAGAATTAGAGAATTAGAGCGAGTAATAGTTAGTATAAGTGTTTAAAGTTACACAACAGAAATGTGGAGTATTTCAGTTTCCACTCTCTCTGGTGAGGCTGCAACAAACTGGACTCTTTGTTTACATTTCCAAAAAGAAAACTCTTCCAGGTATCAGGTAGTGTTGTTGTCAAGACCACAGTAACCGGGACCAAGACAAGACCCAGAGGTGCTGCCTGCCAATAGGCAAGGCATGCAACTGCTTGGGAAACGCACCTGGCTGTCACACATCCAGGTGTGCAGACATTTTTTTCTACTCAGGTAAATAACCTAAAAAAATAAAGATCTGATTCTCCTCAGAGTTCAGATATAAACCATGCAGGTCTGACAGGGGAGTAATCAAAGGACAGGTGTGCTGGGAGGAAACGTTCAAGGTGAGGTGAATAAATGGGAAACTCTGGTGGACATGAGAGGAATGACAACGCCTGCAGAGGTCACTGACATGTCCAGGTTATGAAGGGGAAGTTGTGAGGGTCAAAGTAAAGGTGAGATAATGATGTGTTTCCCCACGCTAAGGTTTAGTTATTCCCTCAGCGGCCACGTTTACATCCTTTTATGATTATGTTGGGGGCTTTTTGACAATTTATTTAAATAGAGAAGCTGTTCGATCAACTGACGTCATTTGTCACATCAGCTGTTGGGTTTTTAATTAAACTTTAGGAGCCATAATGTACGTTTTACCTCTGTTGATTATTTTTATTTTTTATTATTGTTTCCCTCCTTAAAGGTCACATATTCTCCTCCTCTTCTTCAGTTAAATAAGTGTCAGAGCTCCTCAAAACATGTGTGTGAAGTTTCTTGTTCTAAATCCACTCTGATCCTGTATTTGATCATGTCTATAAACCCCTCTATTTCAGCCCTGCTCAGAACAGGCTGTTTCTGTGTCTGTACCTTTAAATATGTAAATGAGCTGTGTCTGACCACGCCCCCTCTCTGGAAGGGCTTGGGTACTCGGTGCTTTCTCCCTCCATGTCCTATTGTTTACGGTGAGAAGGCAGACTCAGAGGGCAGAACAAACACCTAGCTGTGGGAGTGTCACCCACCTGGGGGAGGGGCTACTGCCCTTTGTGATGTCATGAAGGGAAAATCTCCAAATGGCCTGTTTGAGCACACATTTTCTGAAAAGTGGAGCAGGCAGAAGACAGAGAGGATGGACTTTTCTCATCATTGGGGGGTTTGTAGACAGAGATACACATATTAGACTTTTTGAACCAGGCTGTAAACATGTTCATCTCTGCTGTAAAAACAGGCTTTTTTGAATGGGTGTGTATGTGACTTCTGGGGCTCCTGCAGCCAGCCTCTAGTGGACACTCGAAGAACTGCAGGAATTTGCACGGCTTCATTTTTCAGCACCAGAGGTTGCGTTGCATCTACTTTATATTTAACATATGAAGCAATGCTCATTGCATGTGTCCCTGTTAAATAAACAAATGAAATGTAATGCACAATGTTGAGACAGTGATTCTGTTATTATGTGAATTGCTGGATGTAAAGTCATTTCAAGCTAAATATGGCTGCTAGTTTCTAATTTGTCCACACCTGCATCACCAAGCGGGGTGCCAGAAGCCTAGAGGATATGTTGTCTGCCTCATGTGTAGAGGCAATAGACCTCATGGCAGCGGCCAAGGGTTCAAATTCATCCTCCGCCCTTTGCTGCATGTCCCACTCTCTCCTCTCAACATTTCCTCTCTCTCTCTTCAGCTGTAAAGTTTTAACGTCAAACAGGACATTTTAACAACAGTACTCACTGAATCAGTCCTCACATTTAACATTACATCCTGGTACGACGTTCTCACCGAAAAATGCAAGAAAAAACTAACTGGTATCATTAAACATGCAACAAAAATCACCGGCTCCACCCAGATCCAACTATCAGAACTTTACAAAGAAAGCAGTCTGCATCACTCAGGACCCTCCACACCCCCTTCACTCCTCTCAGCTGCTCCCCCTCAGGCAGTCGTTTCAGAGTACCACTCTTACAGAAACTCTTTTATTCCCACTGCAATACGCATTTTAAACAAGGCTAGATAAGCAATGTTTTTTAAATGCTGTGCGTGTGTTTTTACCTGTTTAGGGCACTTTTAGCTATTTATGACCTGATGTGAGTGTTAGTGTGAATGTTTGTATGTTTTCATGTTACTGAGCCTCAACAAAAGGTCATTTTCTGTCACAATGTGATAGACAATAAAGTTTTTTGAATCTTGAATTTTGAATCTACTATCCAATTAAGGCAAAAAGGCCCAAAAAATATCTTTAAAAACAATAAAAATAAAAATCTGCATCATCAAGCATGAGAAGGTTTTAGGTGTCCAAAAAACTCACATAAAATCTCTTCAAACTCATTCAAACTTCTGCAGCATGCATGTTTTTTTTTAAAGGCTGCTTAAGTCAAACTCTCAAAACTCTCTAACTTGTGTATAGCAGCTTTCCTGAAGATGAAGCCGCCGAGAGGCTGAGGTTGGGCCTAATATATATCAGACGCGCTTTCAAAAGAATACTGTGATACGTAAAAATAAGTTTGACTTTTTTATTAACGTAAAAAAAGATAATCAACTTAACTTATAATAACATGCATTAACTCATAATCACAGTGAGCCAGAAACAATAGAGGTCAACAAAAAACACAGCAACCCAGCTCACCCCCTCTCTTCCACTGAGAACAAAAGGTGAACAGGTGAGTTAAATCAACACATCTCCGCCCATACCCATGTGACCCGACATCCCCCTACTCAATATAATCCTAATAAATGATATAATAATCAATAACCCAAAACACCAATATATAACAAACTACCTTAACCTTCAATAAATACTACAAACACAATTATATCCATCCATGGCTCCAACATTGTGTTTTTTATTTTTTATATTTGACATTTTTAAATTCTATTTTATATATTGTAATATCTTCTTATTCTGTATTATTTAAGTTGTTGTTAGTTCTGCTTTATTTCCTTGTTAATTGTTTAGCACCAATACACCAAGTCAAATTCCTTTATGTGTAAATGTACTTGCAATAAACCCAGATTCTGATTCTGGTTCTGATCCTGATAA